ATATTCAAGTAATAATTGTCATGACACATTTCAGAGCGGGAACCTACGGGTGTCAGATTACACACAAAGTGAAAATATACCAATATAAAAATTACAAAATCGATTCAATTCATGAACACTATGGAAAAGCAATGAAGTATTAAGTATTGAGCTCAAATAAAAGTGCTTACTAAAGCTAATTCGAAATAACAAAATCCGGATCTGGGTTCGGTTCCGGGTTCGGGTCCGGGTTTGGGTCCGGGTCCGGGTCTGGGTCCGGGTCCGTGCCCGGGTCCGGGTCCGGGTCCGAATTCGGGTCCGAATTTTAAAGTTTTTGTTTCACTATAGTTTTAAACCTCGTGAATGGCATACTTTGTATATCAACCGGAATCTTGTTGTAGAAGCGTATACATTGCCCCATAAATGAATTTGCCACTTTGTGAAGACGACTATCAAGAACAGACAGGTTATTTTTATTCCTAGTATTAATATTATGTCTGTCACTATTTTTCATTTCAAGAAATTACTATTCCTCTTAACGTAAATTACATTTTCATAGATGTACTGTGATGCCAGTGTAAGAATATTAATTTCCTTAAACTTATCTCGGAAAGATACTCTGGGGCCCAGATTGCAAATAGCCCTAACCACACGTTTCTGTAGGACAAACATTCTATTGATATCGGTGGCATTACCCCAAAGCAAAATGCCGTATGTCATTAGACTGTGAAAGTAGCTGAAATAAACATTTCTTTCACAGGGAGCTCTACTGCAACTAACCTACTATCTATTGTATATTAGAAGAAATCATAGTCGTTATAAGAGAACTCTAGACTTTATATGCATCTATATATCGCACACTGAGAATGACAGTGACATAATGCAAAAATTTTGACTTTGAGTAATGAGCAATTTAAGTTCTGAAAACTGTGATAACTGCAATTTCTGAATTTATTGAATGCGGTTTTCAGCTTAAATAAAAGGGATCGTAAAGTTTTAGAAGTATTATACAAATTTTCACCTACTACAATAAAAGAAAGGTATATTTGAGAATTTCGTTTAGTGTTACTATTCCTCATAATCTTTTCAAGTAAATTAACGTTTCTTATTATGCAATATCATTACAAAGGATTCATAAAAACAAATTATTAAAAAATAAATTACTGTATAACTAACTTATCCACTAACCATCGTAAATCTGGCCCGGCAATCCCGTACTAAACTATAAAACATGTGCAAAGCGACCCTATTCAAAAAATTACGGTATCCTTCACGGACCTAGTAAATTGTGACACAACTCAGCGATTTCTGTCACTATCAAAAAAATGTCAGGTCCGTTCCCCTTATACAGCATAACGTCATTACACCATGTAGCAAATTCTAAGCAAACATCGTACTCGGGGGTTTTTGTACTATAAAGTCCATACTCTCCAATCCGAGATGACGTTAAAAGTAAAAAAAAATAGTTTTCGTATAGTAACATTACAATTCTAAGTATGCGATACATTGCCCTACATTAATTACATAACGAGCAAAATGTAAACCACTTCAACACAACAATATCATTTCGATACAAAAGCAAACAAAACAGGTGCGATACCCTTCGTACCAAAAACTATTACAAGCGACTTTCAATAGAGACGCATAATTGATTTGTAGCGAACAGTTGGCGAAAGACGAGTCGCCTCTAATCGGACCCTTGATTACAGACGGCGAAATAAAGCTGATGCCGTAATGGAGGACAAATTATGCGCCCGCGGTGACAAGTGCACGGTGCATATGTCGGGGTGTCCGGCGCAAGTGATGAGTGCTACACACTGAGACATAGTTTGGAGCGCAAAAGATTATTATTTAATCAATATTCGTCTGACGAAATATCGTAATTACTCCAAAATAAGATTTATAAAATGTCTTTGATTTGCGTTGAAAAAAAAAATAAAAGAAAAGGAAAGACTAAAATATGTTTTATTTTTCTTTTATTTACGTTTTTCAATATAACTTTGTGATAATTTCCATAAAATAATCTGCAAAATGATAATTAAACACTACTATAGAGTCAGTTTTTCAATTATTCATTTTTTTGTTTTTTTTTGTAATACTAAGTGACGGGACGAACAAGTCGCACGCCTGGTAAGCGACACGCCTATCCATAACAGTTGCAGTGCCATTCAGAGCTTTAAATCGCAATGATCTTATGGGCGATGCCACTGCGCCCGTCACCCTGAGACATAAATTGACAAGTCAAATGCCGTCTTAATAGCAATAGCTAAACATAGCATTAGCTACATTGCATTATTTGTAGTTCTAAAATGTAGTGTGTTTCAAACCAAAACTAAAAATATAGAACAAGTATGGGGTCGAATAAAAGGGGGTCCGTTGCACGGCCCACAGTATTATCGCCCTAAAGCGCCCTAATCCCATGCGATTATGCTAGATCGCGTGGTACGGGTCACAAATTCCTTTATTCACAACGAACTTTGGTTACATTTTAGCTTTTCAACAAATGAGGATTTTATTGAAATAATCGTTTTCTTGTAAAAGGGTACTAACACATACTTGAATAGTTTAAATGAAGCGCTTGGTTATTATAATGTTAACAAACTTCATAGAACCGACACTTCCACATTTATTTGTAAAAAAAATTACAATATGATTTGAATCTTTATTTTAAACACATGCAAATTGGCCTAAATTCAAATCATAGCTTGTTTCTATTATTATTATTATGTTTATTATTTTAGACTCTGATCGAAAACACGTAAATGCGGTATGGTGTGTGTCTGTTATTATTTGTAACAATAAGTGGAAACATTAAGTGATAAATTACTAACCAAAAATAACATTCAAGTAGAATTTGTAAACAAGACACAATGTTTTCGTCTATTATTTTATTACGTAAAAGACTGACCTTCTGCTTTCATTTTTGTTGCATAGCCCAATGTCCGCGATAGTTATATTAATCTGACTGTTGCTTCCATAAATATAATAAAAATAAGATTCCTTTATGTTTTTGCAATGTTCGAAAATTATTTCACATCTGCGCTACTGTCAAGGGGTGACACGAGAAATCGACGGAACAGCGCAGGCGCAAAAACTGCAAACGATTTTAGAATATGTGTCGATAGTACACGGTTAAGTTCAGCTTGGAAGCATTTTAGAATCATTGCGCATGTATTTTGATGAGACGCTTGGAAGTTTTCTTATACTGAAATGCTTATTGTTATCGAAGACTTGCTGTAGATGTCGTTAGCTGTTCAATTTCAACTATTCTGTTCAATTCTTTGATATTTGCTACCTTTTTAGTTTTGAAACACTATTACTACCATACTCTTTTTTTAGATATCTTGGACCTTTTTAAGGCGAGAGTATATATTAATAGGTATTATTATTTTTATTTAATTATGATACCAAGTAACGGGACGGCCATGTCGTGCGTAAGTGGTAAGCGATACGCCTGTCCATAACAGTTGCACTGCCACTCAGAGCTTTAAATCACAAAGATTTGAGGGTCATTGCCACAGCGCCCTGAGACATAAATTGACGAGCCCCATTTTACCAACACCCTTACCCTTCACAACCGAAACACACATTACTACTTGGCAGCAGAAGTAGGTAAGGTGGCAGTACTCCCGTTGACGAACTCTTCACAAGAAGGTCTACTGCTACTTGTCATTTTCCATCAGATGGTACGGAGTTCAAATGCAGAGCTATTAATTTAAAAAATCAATAAAAATAATTCTCGTAAATTTATAGCAAATGCTTAATTCGTAAATAATCCCTAATTAATAATAAATACTCCCGTATTTTAATTTGTTAATTATAATTTTGTATACCATATCAATGGATCTAATATAATCAAAATTCTATTGTTTAAGGTACTCGCTACCAAACTGATAAATTTAATTACTTCTGTACACAGTAATTTAATGTGTAATATTGGTTGTTTTTCATTATTTTATTTACTCGTACGAAGAGTGTTGTATGCAATCATTACATCATTAGTTCTTAAAACCTCGTACTTATTACTTACATACGGTACTCGACTTTAAAACCCCTCATTGTGCAACGTTTGCATAAAATACTATTATGCAAATAATAGAAATGATGTCCGAGAACGATTGCTTTTTAAGTATCGATTCTTCAAGTGCGCCGCATAACTTATCTTTGACCATATACTACAATCTACTATAGTACATAGATATTCGTCGACGAATCGTGATGAAATCTGCATGTAAGATTAGTGTCCTAACTCTGGTTGTAAAATCTAAGATCAAAAGTTGTAAAACGCTTGGTGGACTACAATCACGATCAATAACGTAACGTATAACGGCATAGGTTGATGATGATATTAAATAATAATAGCCCGCTTTTCCCACTCGATTGTACTAGACCTAATTATATTCAATTATACAACTGAATATCATTATTATGGAAATCACAATTACGCATCTCTTGACCGGTAACCACGATTGAACCTCTAGTTCCTCAAATATCCTTACTAAGAATTTAGACGTTTATGTGGTAATTTAAAATGTAAGAAGTGTACTGTAATAAATTTCTATACAAATGAAATAATTTATTATTATAATAGGGGTTAAAGTATGAAATTGCCGATTTGTACTGAAA